ATTTAATAAGTTAAGGAAAAATTTTAATTTATTAAAATATTAATTAATTAAATATTAAAAATTTAAACTAAGCATTAAAAAATAATCATGCACACTTTTATTATTTTTAAATTGTCTACCATATTATTAAAATAAATATTTAAAGACCAATTTCCTATAGAAATCTTTTTAATTTTTTTTCGATTGTTTGATAAAGTAGTGGAAAAATTTTTCATTTTTTCTCTAGAAAACTGAGAGTTTATTCCTAAAATGCAGAATTTTCCCAAATATTGAATACGAAAATTTTCATGGTTAGATACCGCCTCGTGGATGCTGATTAGGAATAAAAAGTTTGATGACTTCGATCATAGTGATCAATAATAAATATGAAGAAAAGAAATAGGACTTATTTGTAATATGCATAGAAGTCAAATGACTTGCTTCATCAAATTTCTCAAACGTCGGAAGACATGAAACTTCGTTGAGGGAAACTTTGGGCCTCGCGAAAATTAATTTCCAAATCCAAAAGTTGATTTCCAGAATATTAGTTTTAGATTTTTCATTGATTAAAGTTCTTTTCTATTGAGTTATTTTTTAAAGAGGTTTCAAATATAAGAAAATGAAAAAAAAATATTGTGTATAAATTATTTTTCGTGAATCAAACAAACCCAACAATTTCTATGGATCAATACATGAAATTTATTAGCAAATGACAATATAAATATATGCAGCTGGCCCTTGCGGCCTAGTGGCAATAGCCACCTCGATGCATTCCTCTCTCTCCAGGCTGGATTCGAATCTCGCTCCTTGCAAATATGTTCAAAAAAAATATATATATATATATATATATATTTTTGCTAACGAATTTGGTCTTTCGGGCCAAGTGGCTCTAGCCATGTTTGTAAAGTTCATGTCCCCCTTCCCCAGGGCAACGGTTCGAACCGACTCATAACAAAATGTTTAAAATATATAGGCTTAAGTATTGGAAAAGGACTCCAACTTTTATTAAATTCTCAATTGAGGTCCTCAACATTTATTATGCTTAATCAAGGTCTCAAACTCATGCAAACTCTCAAATAAGGACTCAATTGGATGGAATCCTAACCATCCGTTAAAGTCTAACATGACCCGTTATAATCCGTTACAACCCTCAACATGTGGCATGCCGATTGGACCCATAATGCTGACAGTAAAAAAATTGTCCAACATGGCAGATCTTTTAGACAAGGTGGATCCCACAAGACTCCTTTTACTTTCCCCTTCTTTGACTATTTAATACTTATTTAATATAAAACCCCTAAAACTTTCGTTTGTAACTAGGACAATAGAAAACAACTTCTGAGAATTTTAAAAAGTTTGAGGCTTTCACTGGTTGGTGTGATCTTTTAAACAACTTTCTTTTGTATTTTTGTATGGATTCAACAGCATACAAGTACAATTATATGGTTTTATTTGAGTTTTTCAATAATTTTAATATATTTATTAATTTTTGAATTTATTTTTTTATTTAAACTTTTAGTCTCAATTGCACCTAATTTTTTTTAATTTTATTTGGTCAATTTGGTCAATTTATTTAATTTATTATTTTTTTAATTCGTAATCACTTATATTTTTTTTTATTGTATCTCATTAAATTTGGGGTGTTGATAGTGTTAAAACCTTTCCGTCTTTAATTAACCTTTTTCTTAATTATTTTTACATTTTGTTTAAATGTTTATATATGTGTTTCCTAT